AAGAAACTAAATTTATATATATCATACTTATGATAATTATTTCTCTGTATTCCTACTAAAAACTTGTGTTTTCTAACATTTTAGAAACTATATTCACCATCCATGCAGGTATCCAATCCAGAAACATGGCATCCTTAACAATGTCTTATCCACCCAATCCAACCTAGTCCATAAGTCTTGTTGGGTCTATCTCCTAAACATTTTTCCAATATGGCCCATCTCTGCTACTACTAATTCAGTTCCATCATCACCTGTCATCCTGATAAAAGAAACAACTTCTACAAGTAGCCTCTTTACCTATAGTCTCATGTCATTCCTATCTAATTCTCCACATAGCAGTGATCTTTTGATACAAAACAAGAATATATCTTGCCTTCTCTTAAAATCTTCCCTTTGTGGCTGGGGTTATGATTCAGTGGTAGAGTGCTTGCCAGTGAGGCACTGGGTTCGATCCCCAGGAACATATAAAACAAACAAACAAATAAATAAAATCTTCCCATTTTTCGTCACAGGTCTTACACATGCATTATTTGGGTCTCTGTTTTCCACTTCTGTTTCATCTCTTATAACTTCTTGCCTTTTAATCTATGTTTAAACCATAATATATTATTTTCAGCTTGTTAAAACATTTTAATTTTGTTTTGCCTCAAGGCTTTGATATATGCTGGTTCTGCATTCCTTTTCCTTTCCTAACTTGTAGTCTTACTCTTGCTCATTACACAGGAATCAGCATGGATACTTCTTCCTCCAAGAAGTCTTTCTTATTTCCTCCCAAGGCTTGGTTAGATGCACAGTGGATATCAACCTTTGTATCCAGTCATACTCTCCATTAGCAATCACATTTTATGATAATTTTTTCGCTGTATTTATCCTCCATTAGACTACTAGCTTTGTGAATGCAAAAGTTATAACTTTACCTATGGTATCTAGTATGTAACTGCATATGAAGGCCTTAATCAATATTTGCTAAATAAGCAAATTTGTTGCTTTAACAATCCCATGAAGAGTTTAAACATAAACTCTTTTAAAGCTTAGCATAAAAGCTAAGCATTTGGTCTGTGTTTTGAACACTAAGAAAAAGTGACCACAAGGTATAGAATGCTTCTTTCCTAATATATGCCTGGGATCAAGCAAATTTTTGCAAAATATTAAGAACTGCTTTGGAATTATTTAATTGATCTGTGTGCATTTCTCTCCAATCTCTTGAAGATCCTCCTGCCTTAAACATGCACTCGCATTAAAATGTCATAGCTTTGTTTTGAACAAAGAGACAACTAAGTACACTAGCAAATGAATCTTAAAATTATAAGGGTATGTGAATAAGCCTCAAAAATCATATATAGACAGCATGTTTCCAATTATATGATACTAATATAATGTGAAAAACTAAATGATATTGTATAGAAATACTTATTTACTGGTAACACAGATGATAAAAGTCTAAAGAAAAGCAAGGAAGTCATTAGCATAAAAGTCAAAATAGAGCTGGAAATGGTGGTGCATGCCTGTAATCCCAGCAACTTGAGAGGCTGAGGCAGGAGGATCACACATTTGAGGCCAGCCTCAGTAACTCAGTGAGGTCCTAAGCTACTTAGTGAGACCTTGTCTCAAAATAAAATATAAAAAGGGTTGGGGATATGGCTCAGTGATTAAGACCTCTGGGTTTAATTTGTAGTACAAAAAAAGTCAGAAATGTATTTGTTCTTTGGAAGGTAGGAGTGAAGCAGGAAGGAACTCAAGAACATTCCTATGGTACTGCATTTTCTACTTCCTGATTTGGATGTAGGTAAAGAGATTTAATTCATAATTATTAAATATTTGCTTAATATTTTTTCTGAAAGTCTATTGTATTTTATTTATACATATATATGCAAATATATGCAAGGTAAAAGAAAATGATCATGACATAATAACTAAACAAAAAACTAATGTTATTTAAATAGTGAGCTACTTTAAAAAATATATTCTTAAGATTAAAAATATGAACCTTAGCTCAGAACTTCAGATACCTTACAAAGGATTATAGTGCCCCGTCTAGTAATTAACAATTCAAATTCTAAAATATAAATTAAGTGTAAGGAAATCCAGAAGTGTCCCTATTTTTCACAAGATAAAAACATTACTTTAAAAAAAATTAATGTGTGTGCTACACACACACACACACACACACACACACACACACACACACATTTTTCCCCGTCCCTGCTTTGCCGGTGGCCAAAGTATATATTTAATCTGATTACTGGTAATAAATGGTGATTCAGAATTTTTATAGTAAAACATTCTTCGACATTTTCATTGTAAATATAATCCTAGATTATGAACAGATTATGAGATTTCATCTCACTCCAGTCAGAATAGCAACAATCAACAATATAAGTAACCATGTTGGTGAAGATGGAGAGAAAAGGGTACACTCATACATTGTTGATGGGACTACAAATTGATGGAACCATTCTGGAAAGCAGTACAAAGATTCCTCAGAAAACTTGGAATGGAACTACCATTTGATACAGTTATCTCATCCCTTGGTATATACCCAAAGGACTTAAAATCAGCATACTACAGTGATGCAGCCACACCAATGTTTATAGAAGCTCAATTCACAATAACTAAGCCACGGAACCAACCTAGGTGTCCTTCAACAAAGGAATGAATAAAGAAAATGTGGTATATATACACAATGGAATATTACTCAGCCATAAAAAAGTATAACCTCATGACATTTGCTAATTAATGAAAATATCTGGAAACTACTAGGCTAAGCGAAATAAGCCAATCCCAAAAAGCAAAGGCTGAATGTTCTCTCTGATATGTGGATGCTAAAACACAACAAGAGATGGGAAGGGGAAGAATAAAAGTTCATTGGTTTAGACAAATGGGAATGAAGGAATGGGGGGACAGAATAGGAAAGACAGTGTAATGAATCTGACTTAATTTTCCTACATACATATATAAATACACCCTATCAAATACATTCTACTGTCATGTATTTAGAAAAAGAGTAAAATAAATAAATAAATGCATACATACATACATCATACATCTCCACATCATGTACAACCACAACTGGGATCCAAATTAGAATTAGATATACTCTATATTTGTATAAATGTGTCAAAATATACTGTATGTCTAATTAAAAAGAATAATAATAATAAAAAAAACTCTTCCACTGAAATAAATAGCATTTATTTTCCCCTAATGTTGTTAGTCACTAACTAGGAGAAACTTATATACACTGGTCCAAAATTAAGTGTATAAATAAAAATATTTCTTCAAGGTTATCTAATATTTTTCAGGACCAGCAGTTAAATTAGTTTTTTAGGAGAAATTATTGGCATGTTATAAGAACTACTGATATGTCTCAGTACCCTCTAATTTCTTTCTTCCTTTTTTTTTTTTTTTGGTTCCAGGGATTGAGCCCAGGGGCGCTTCACCACTGAGTCACATCCCCAGCCTGTTTTTATATTTTGAGAAAGGGACTCACTAAATTGCTGCTGGCTTTGAACTCATGATTCTCCTGCCCAGCTTCCCAAACCTTTGGGATTATTAGCATGTTCCTGACTCTAATTTCTTTTTGATCCCTGTCCTCAGTCTGAATTGAGGAAAAGGCAAAAAGACAACTTATCCAGTACAAAGAGATAATGGTGTGGCTGGTGCTGTGCTTTGCAGACTAGGTCATGGAGAAGCTGCAGCAGGTCCTGAGCTGCCACGACTATGAGGAGCAGGGCCTGCTCATGCAGATCCTTAGGCCCCCTCTCTTAGTTACAACACTAAAATAAAATGGTTTATCATATGCTTCATGGAAGCATTTTCATTCTTCTATCCTTGGAACTGGATTGCTGTGGCTTCCTGGTGGCACAAAGCTTTTTGCAGTGTTTTACACCCTTGGAAATCTTGCAGCATTAGCCAATACACTCTTTTAAATGGAACCTGTGAAGCAGCTGAAGAAAATACCTGAAATAAGAAGACTACCTGCAACAGTCATTACGCTTCTGTACTTTGTACTCATCCTGTGTGCCATCTTTGGTGGCATAAGAAGGAACTGGCCTTACAATTCTGCATAACGTGGTTCTTGTAAACCCCATATGCAAGGGATGTTTAAATGCTGCTCTTCTCTCTTAAGCTGAAAACCATAAACTACTTGTGGAAAAGACTGTTGGGATGTCAATAGTCCACTGTTAGAGAATTAAGCTGTTCCTAGTAAAGTGATAACTGCAGCAGCAGCTTAAGACCATTCTGGGTACTGGTAAAACCACACACTTAATTAAACTGCTAAATGCACGTAGCTTTAAATTTACTGCATGTCATTGACTTGTTTTTCTGAAGATAAGGAAATTTTAATCACTGCCAATATAAATAAGTTTAGCTAATTTTTTAAACCTTTTCAAACCAGTTTTTGAAATGTGAGTATTTAAGGAACAAATCTGTGCTATGAGAGATATTAAGATACTAAGTATATTTGACTTTTTAAAAATGTCTGTTTTTAGATATCTTTTTTTAACTTTAAAAATGTGAAACATTTGGGGGTGGGGTTGGGGCTCAGTGGTAGAGCACTCACTTAGCACGTGTGAGGACCTGTGTTCGATCCTCAGCACCACATAAGAATAAACAAATAAAATAAAGGTATTGTGGTCAACTATAACTAAAGAATAAAATATTTTAAAAAATGTGGAACATTTTACTATACGCTTAAAATTGCTTATTATGTATAAAAAATAAAATACATGTCTTTACAATTTTGAAATAAACCCCACCCTTGGGGGGAAGAAAAGAGATTATGCTAATACCAGAGTGAAAAGGTCTAAAGCCTGGTAAAGTCTATTCTAAGCTAGCTATCAAATATTTTTAGAATTTTAATATTCCCATTATATTGTATTTAGATTTATGACAAGTGCATTAAAAAAGATGCTAACTCACAAATAGTATTTAATTTCAATAACTTCTATAACCTTCAAAGATAAATAAAATATTACACAAGTTTTGTTTTATTTTACCTGTTTTCTCGTTCATACATTTCCTTAGAGGCACTTCGAAGCTGTTCAATTTCCTGATGAGTTTTCAATCTGATTTGTTCTAGTTCATTCTGTAGTTTATTTTCATATTCTGTTTTATAATGGTCTCTACAAGGAGTCAAAAGGAGTATCTGTGAATTTCTTTCATGGAACAAATAAGCTCTTGTCCAATATGTAAGATTTAAATCTCTTGATAAAAATCAAGATACATATATGCTCTATATACCATGTTTGGATAATGTAACAATTTTAGACATAAAGTTTTATAATTCCCCAAAATGCTGTTCAAAACTACTTGCATATAAGCTCACAACCTGTCCAACATACTACTCCAAAGCTATAATTACTACATAAGATGTTTGTAATTTCTGTTGGATACATACTTGTCTTCAAAAATATTTTCCTAGTAGTTTTTAATGCACATGGCTGAAGTTTGAAAACTGAAGGCATACAGAATGACTCTTCATTTAAAAATAATAATCTAGTGTGGAACATATGGAGACAGAAATAATATCAACAAAAACACAAAACCAAAATAACTCTGACTTTATAAATTGTTTCCTTCCATGTAGGACAATCATACACACGGTGGTTTTGAAACATTATGTTTCAAAACATTACACAGGGTAATGTCCAGCAGAAAGTGATGAAAAAAATATTAATGCTAGGAAAAAATTATGAACATGTGAACTGTTAAAGGTAAAATTTTAACTTTGTTTTAGTGCTTGATATGCTGATAAAAATAACTCAAGACTGATAGCTGGGTCAACTGGTGGGAAGGAAGAATGGAGGAATTTGGATTATGGGAAAGGGTTAGTGTGTGTGTGTATATGGTGGAATGAGATGGACATTATTACCCCTTTGTATGGGTATGATTGCATGAATGGTATGACTCTACATCATGTACAACAAGAGAAATGAAAAAGTTATGCTTCGTTTTTGTAAAAAATAAAATAAAATTAATTAAAAAAATAAAATGATTTGTCTTCTAAAAAAAAAAAAAACCTCAAGAATTATAAGGGCTATTTGTATAAAGAATCTCTAGTAGCTTAAACACATCTATCAGAATAGGGAAGGCAGGATTAAAATGTGGGGACTGATTCCAGGGCTTGGTATATGCAATCAGTGCCTGCTCATTCTTTTATGTTTCACAGTCAGGAAATCATGAGCAGACTTGGATTTTCTTCAAAATGATACAGCCAGAGATACACTGTATTTCAAAAAATACTTGTAGAAACATAGGGAATCAAAAAGATTATGCCATAAGAAAGACAGTTTTAGTATATATTTCTTTATCTAAAAGAAATATTTTTTTTTTGTTTTATGGGGAAAGTCAAAATGTCTTTTAAAAAAATCAATCAGATAGAAGAAAAAGTTGGCTCCGATCTACATATTGTGGGGTCAGGCTCCAAATTCCTTAATAGGACACCCATAGCACAAGAGTTAACAACAAGAATCAACAAATGGGACTTACTTAAACTAAAAAGTTTTTTCTCAGCAAGAGAAACAATAAGAGAGGTAAATAGGGAGCCTACATCCTGGGAACAAATTTTTACTCCTCACACTTCAG